TATTGTGAACTAGAATAATTTTTCTCTGTCATTCCTGGTCAAATATCCTGTTTTAAAACTTAATGAAGGTTTAGTCAATACTCATGGACTTCCATATTTCCAAAGATGCTCTATCCCTTCTTTTCCTGGTCATTCTTCCTGGAGCATATCCTACTTGTGTTGTCTTGTGCTGTGATTTCATTACCCAGGTTTCTTGGGACTCTCAACACTACCATCCCTTTAAACCTTATGCAATAGACAGCATTCTTAGGTGACCCCCAGAGACCCACATCCTTGTATGATATCCTCCTTTTGACTCCGAGGGGCACCTGTGAAAATTATGTGATGTATAATATCCCTCCCAGAATTCAGTTTTGTTATTTGGTTCAGAGTTAACTTTAAGAAAGTAGATGATATTCATTGAGTCTACCTCATCAAGTTAACCCTTAAAAGGGGAAGACTTATCCTGGCAACAGAGATTACAAATGTGGAAAATGGAATAAGCAGAAGGAAGAATCTCTTTTGTGGGCTTCGAAGATGGAAAGGCACAGCCCAAGAAACTGGATGACCTTGAGGAGCTGAAAGAGGTCAAAGCTGGTGGCTGAAAAACAATAGTGACCTCAATGTTACTGCAAGGAACTTAATTCTACTACAATCACATGAGTTTTATAAAAGGATCTGAAGCTCTAATTGAGAAGAGAGCCTGGCTGGTACCATAAGGTTGGTCTTGTAGTTATCACAGAACCCAGTCATTCTGTGCCTGAACTTACTCCTCACTCATAAAAACAAAGATAATAAATTGATGTTGTTGTAAACTGCTAATCCTTCAAGCGCTAGGTAATTTATATCTATATATTCAGATATATCTACAGATATAGATAATAGATATCTATTAGATAGATAGATAGGTAGATAGATAGATAGATAATCCCTCTAAATCTTAGATCATCAGCTATGCAGTGGTAGATATCCTTATATACATTGACCTTGATTCCAAATGTCTAACTGTTCTGCCCTGACCTCAAATATGCATAAGGAGAGTATTTCACCCAGGTCATTTAGTGGGTGCTAGAATGGACTTTATGCTAGAGGTCTCACCAGCAAAGTGAGGAGAGATCCAATATCATAGGAATGCATGCTTTTGTGTTTTGATTTGTGCTAGAAAGATTTTACCAATGCCCTTCCATATGACATACTTTCTAACACCTTCTATTATGACTACCAAAAGATAAAAGCCAGCACCATATGGTACACTGATTAGAAGCCACAGTTCAATGGAACCAGGACAATGTCCAAGGTGAAAGAAAATTAAAAAAATGCAAAATTATTAGACCATGCATTAAAGGTTTTCTACACAGTGAGAAACACAATTTGATACTCCTTTTCGTGCTGGGTGAAGTACAGAACCTGTGGAGTGGATTAGGAAAGAAAATGCTTTTTCTGTTGCTTTCTGCTTCAAGAAGTACTTTAACAATCTATTGCAGTCTTCATTAACATACAGAGATTGAGTTCAGGGTTAAAGCATTGTAGGCATCATTTGTCTAGAACACAAAGTGATTTTACATGGGGATGGAAAGCCTAAAAATTTGTGGTGGTGTTTATTTTTGGTAACAGTTTGCAAAGTTGGAATAAGCTACCTGTCTATGATAAAATATGACCCTCACTCACTCTTGTAAATTGCTTTTGTCTGTTCACATTTAGATGTCATTAATCTTTCTTCCCTTATGGATGGACATTCAGCACATTCCCCACAATTGATTCAACTCTACAATGCAGAATGGTATAAAAAAAAATCACAAAGAGCAGTTGGAGAAAAATATATTGTAAGGGTACAAGTAAGAAGGTTATCTTTATTTTACCTACAGGGAACCATAAGCATTTGCCAAAAGAACTGTGAGAAGGATCAAAGTAACTAGGCATAAATAGGCAAATAAGTCAGCATAAATGCTTAGTCCAGAAAGACTATTTAAGGTCTATACAATACAGGGTCTCCCACCATCAATTTACATAAAACAGTTGTATACCATATGCTTAAAAACACTTTGGATGTAGAACTAACTATCCTAAAATATTTCTCATTTTTTCTCTGATCCATTTACCACCCAAGAAAGAGACACTGATTTCAAAATTACTTATAATGCAATTGTCCTACTTTGTTATATTCCTTTCAGTTGAAACCCTTTCTTGTATGCTTAGTATATGGTGTGATACACTGAATGTAGCACTTGTCATATTTTTGAGCTTAATTTTTAATAAAATCTTGGCTCCACTGATGAAAATTCTAGATTCTGTTATGTCTCAGCTGACTTTAAGAATGATAGTAAAAAAAAAATCAACCCTATGTACAAGACTGACATATTCTAATATTCCTTATATGATCCTTCCTTTCCTGATAGGCCTTTCCAATACAGTATATAATTATTTTTCCATATTCCTCAAGGTCAGTCAAAAATAAATGTGAGTTAAGGTATCTGGTCACCTAGAAACAAAAGTACTTAAACTTTAAATGTAAGCCAGAAAGTGAGTGAAGCTCCTGTCCTTTGCCTTCCACTTAAATTGATTAGGAATGGTAAACCATTATTGAGTCAATATTGAACAAGAACTAGAGTATATTCATTACAAGTACAGTAATATTCCATAAAGTATTTGATTGGGGGATGCATGTCTATATCATTGAACAAACACAAGGAAATCTAAAATCACATCATAATCAAATGAATAAATATTTAATTTTCTATGATGTGTAGGACTTGTCAACACTAATCTGAATGGAAAATAAGTGTGGTAAATATAACAGAAGTTCTAGGTCACCTTTCTCTGCTACTGCAGAGTTAGGACAAAGCATGATGACCATGAATATGCAAATCAAAATGTTGACCATTTTTAAAATTTGTATTGAATTTTTCTCTAGATGTTGCTCTTTATATTTGAAGTTCATGTGAACTATGGGTGAATTGCATTTAGGTCTCAAAACCTGTGATGTAGAAAATGTGTCTGGCAGTATTTTCCCCATCAGTCAAGGTGTACCCATATCTATAAACTTCATCACCCCCATAATTTATAAAAGTAGAGGAAATTTTAAACAGTTTTTTTTTATTTTTTAATTCATTTTGTTTTTGAAAGATTTATTTGGTTTATTTATATGTACAAGAGCTGGGATGTGGGCCAGAGGTACAGGGAGTGAGAGGATTTAGCAGAGACAGAGTGGGGAGCAGAACAGGCAGATTGACTGAAATACACTGCTGAGGGGAGCAGTGGGCGAGACAGGAGAGGTCTGCTGCACCATGTGGGTCATTTCCCTGGCTGGGGATTGAACTTGTGCTGTAATGGCTGCCTATAGCTTCATAGTGCTGAGACTTAACCCCTTGCACCACCAGGGAACCCCTCCAAACAGTTTTTTAAAAATCTCACATGGTCTCAGAATCTACTTTCTGAAATGTAGTATATCCATATAAAATCTTACTACTGCTTTGCATACTTAAATCCTCATTTTACAGAACAAATTATGACACCTGATGCATACAAAAAATGGACTTAAAGTTGGAATTGCTTGAAGAATGAATGGTTTGAAATATATTTTTATGTTGTTTCCTTAATTTTTTAAGGATTGGGTTGGAGGGGACCAATGTATTAATCCTTTTATGAAAGTATTTAGCAATGTAGAGAGATCATTACTCAGGGGAGGAACTTGAGATGATTTTGTTTGTGACTCTTTGTGTGGCCCAATGGGGTACATAGAGTGAGGTCACAAATCAAAAAGTTGAGGACAAAGAGTTTTTTTGGTTTACATCCTGTGTAGAAGAAATAGGAAGTGAAAAGAAGGGTTAGTGGGAAGATGAAAATGAGTGATTATCTACACCAAGATCCCAAGAGGCGTTGAATGTATTTTATTTTCTTTGAATTCAGTTTTTCTCTTACCATGAATTGTTGTCACTGTTCATTACTTAATAGTAATCTGACAGACTAGCTCTTTCTGAGCAAATAGAGTAAAATGAGCATTGTGGTCTAAAGCAGGCACAGAGTAAATGCCCATGGAAATTGCCTACCCAACACCTCCCCTTTATAAAGTTCACATATTGGTCTTATATTTGGATCAGGATAGGAGAAACAGATTGAAAAATTAGAAATAGTAGTTATTAAAATTTTATTCTTTAAAAAAATGGGAAGCAGTTTTCTGGAGAATTCTGACAATATTTATGAGCATTATCATTCTCCAGTAAAAAGTGTGAAGTGTATGTGTGTGTGTGTGTGTGTGTGTGTGTGTGTAGATTATCTCTTCTGATAAGGTTACTAAACATGATGTCATGTAACTCAGATATAATTAAGATGTAAATTAAATAGCAACATGAAGAAAAAGATTGAGAGAGTTAAATAATTTAGAATAAACTGGACAGTACTGGAAAATCTTCAAATTACACTTATTTTCATTTTATTTTTCCACAAACTTCGCTGATCTTTATTTTTTAAGAAAATAGTAATGGAAAGGTTTTAGAGGAAAAGAAAATTGCAAATCTGTCCTTCAGTTTCTCTTTAAGACTATGCCTTCTAAAGGTTTATTTCCCAATTTGCTATTCAGTAAGAGAACTGAGTTGTATATGATTTAAACAATGGGTAATAGAATTGTGATTAGTTTATCATGGTCATACTCTGATGTGTGTTAAATAATTACCTATATGATGCTTGGGGGTATCATGCAGAGAGAGTGGGGGTGCCCCCCCCCGGGTGATGGCGAGCACTCTAGATACCCTAGAGCTGAATCCTGCTCTGGTTTTCATCGTGGTGTTGGGCACAGAGCTGTACACCTGGATTATTCGATGCCTGCTGAATTGAAAATGTTAGTATAAAAATGTTTGAGAGCTATTTATTTCATTAAAATATTATAGAAAAAAATCTCACTGGAATTCTACATTTCTGCTTGGTGATTATTCCTGCAGTAATTCAATACAGGGATTCAATATCTCTAGTAATTCTATACATATGCTCTGTGCTGCTTCTTATTTCTTCTTATTTATGCCAACCAGGACAACACCAGCAAGTCATTAAAGAAGAAATGGACAGGACCAGAGAGGAGTTGGATTTAGCTGGAGTAGAAGAGCACATTGAATAGAATAGCAAGAAAGAAATTTGATTGGGTAAGATGCTATTCTTGGCGATGGAACCAGATTGGCAAATCAATGAAATCAGAATTCAATTCAGTCTGGGCAATACTTTAGAGTCTACTACATATTTAGAATTTACTATGCCCAAAGTATAATAGGATATTGTAGTGCAGTCTTTGCTCTGTGATTACCATCTTGATGGAGAAATCAGGACAAACAGCAATTTAGGGTGATGTTGTTGAAGATAGGAAAGGTTCTTACTAGAATTCAAATGAGATATTATTTTATATGGTAGAGGAATAAGAGAAGGCTTCATGGAGTAAGTTGAGATTGAGTTGTATTCATTGTTCTTACTTATTTTATTTATTTTTTTTTTTACTTAGAGTTAACAAGGTTTGCAATACTGTCTATGATTCTGGGGAATAGGATCTAATCTCTTCAGGTGTATGTTTCCACATCACACCCAACGCGAGGCGACCCATCTTCCTCCACGATAGTCCATTGTGCCCCCCTCCACTCTGATAGCCTCTCTCTCTTCCTTTGGTACTGATAAATCTACAGTCAGATTTCTAGTGTTTGTTTTTGGTTTGGTTTTATCTGACCATTTGCTCTGCTTCTCTATATTCCACATATGAGTGAAACCATCTAGTATTTGTCTTTCTCCTTTTGGCTTATATCTATTTCATTTGGCAAAATAATTTCCAGTTCCATTCTTGTTCTCACAAATGGAAAGTGTGTGTGTGTGTGTGTGTGTGTGTGTGTGTGTGTGTACGTACTAGATCTTTCTAATCTGCTTGTTTCCCTGGGAACATAGGTTGTTTCCATAGCTCGGCTATTTTAAATAGTGCTACAATGAATGAGGCATATATAATCCCTTCAGATGCATGTTTTTGTATTCCTTGAGTGGATACCTAGGGGTGAAATTGAAAGGGCATGTGGGGGTAGTGTGGACATTGATAGCAAAGTCACCGAAGTGTTTTAAAGTGATCATTGTCTGAATTAGTCACCTAGTCACCTGGTCACCTAGTCTCTGTTCTTATTTATTTACTTTTTTAATTTAAATTTTATTTTTATATTCCCCATACAATTGCAACCCCCTTATTTTGACCCCAATCCCTCCCCTCCCCACCCCCCACCCTCCATAGAGTGTCTCTCGTTCATAGTTATTTGTTGATTTTGGTATTTTCTTTCTTATAGTTATTCTTTTTCCCGGTCCCTTATTTAAGTTTTCTAGATTCCTGCTATGAGTGAGACCATCCTGTATTTTATTTTTCTTTTTGGCTTATTTCACTGAGCATGATCCCTTCCAGCTCCATCCATGTTGCTGCAAATTGCATGTGTTTATCTTTTTTGAATGCTGAGTGATATTCCATGGTGTATATGTACCACATCTTCTTGATCCAGTCATGTATTTTTGGGCATTTAGGTTGTTTCCATAGCTTAGCTATTGTAAATAGTGCTGCTATAAACATGGGGGTGCAGGTGCTCTTTGGAATTGATGTTTCTGTGTCCTTTGGGTAAATACCTAGGAGTGGAATTGCTGGATCATATGGGAGCTCTATGTTTAGGAGGTCAAGAAATCTCCACACAGCTCTCCATGGTGGTTGGACCAGTTTGCACTACTCAGTGTAAATATTTGGAGAGTTGTGGTCTTTGCTGTCCATAGCAGTCTGTTATTTTAAGCAGGTGCATTGGCATCATTTTCAGCTAAGCAAGCAGAAGTACAGTGTGAGCTGCTAGGCTTGAGTGTTTCAGGAATTAAGAACAGCACTGGGCGAAAGGCAGATATGAGATGTTGGCCTGCAAACTGTACCACATGAGGACACAGTGAGGGCAGATCTGCTGATGCTGACACAGCAGCTGCTGGGCACTGTCTTGAATCTAGCTAGCTTTCCAGTGGGCACAGGGGCATTTCAGGTTATGTTTTAATAAGAGGAAAGAGCACTAGTGTCGCAGATACTAGGTATTCTCTTCTCAGTAAGTTTTTGATATCATCAGGTTTCTATCCAGCTTTCTGATAACTTTGTCAACCTCTCAAGGCTTTAGATTTTTTTAATTACCTTTATAAGTTTTGCCTTAAAATGCAAAGTGGTGTTGCATTGTGGTAAAAGTCAAAGGCTTTGATGGCAGACTGTTCTAGGTGGGAATTTAGCATTCATTTTTTAGAGTTTTATGACTTTTTTTAATGTACTAAGCTAACTGATAGCCAAAGTTTTCACATTTTAAATTAGGATAATAGTGTGTGACTATTAAGGAAACTATTATCCACTTACTGCAGTGGTTAAAGACACAGTCTGGGAAACTAGTCTCTGGTTCAAATTTCAGTTCTGCTCACTAAATGTGTGAGTTGGGCAATTTTTAAACCTCTCTTTCCCAGTTAACTTATTAGCAAAATAGGGACAATTATGGTACAACCTCATACAAATGCCAAAGATATTACATGATTTACTATTTTAACATCAAAATGCTGCTTGACTTATCAGCATCATATTCATGCTTATTACAGAAAAAAAAATAAAAGTTACTCTAGGAATTGCTTTGGTGAGTAAAGAAGATAGTGTTAGTATTGTGTCTAACATATACCCAGTAAGAGTTAGCTCTTACACTCCAGGGTGATTTTAATGCTAGTATATTCTCTGAGTCTTAGAAGAGCTATTAGTAAATAATTAAAAATGGAGGTATTTACTAATATAAATTAAATGGAACCATTTGTATCTGATCTTAGAATCCTTATTTCTAGAATTGTAAAGTGTTTTAAGGAAATATATCACAGTTCAAAAATCAAAATAAAATAGCATTATTTTACAAAGAATAATTTATTTTCTATTTTAAAGACCAAAATAAAACAAAGCAAAACTGAAAAAAACTTAAGAACCAGAAAGTTGACTAAACTATTCAAATCAACCCAGTATTCCAGATCCACCCAAAGTGCCCACAATAAGCCTTAATCACAGTTAACACAAAGATAAAACAGTTACCCTTTATGTGGAAATAAAGGTAATGGTGAGTGTAAATGGATCCTTTCTATGTCTGCTGATTTTATCTCCTGCAATTTCCTCAGTTTTCAGGTGGGAAAATTAAGATCTAGAAATGGGAATTTTTGTTGTCAAGGTATATCTATTTACAATTTAGACCTGCATTAAATCCAGGGTTCACTCCTCCCTGGTTCCAGAATATGCTGTTGGACTAGACATACTTAACAGTTTATAGAATTCCCAAATTTGAATAAGATGATTGGTTAAATCCTCAAAAGAAACCATAAACTAATGAAGGAGACTGCATTTTCATATCTACATATGATGGGAAACACTATTATTAAAACATTTTTGATCCCCAAATTTCTTATGAAATTTCCTAAAATTTGCTTGTGTTATCTTTGAAACAAGAAAACAATATTTGCAATTTTTCAATATTCTTATCATACTGATGTTTTGTCATTTAAAAGTTTTGTCCAACTAATGAAAGAGAAACCTAGAGTTTTATGATACCATGTAAAAAACATTTGATAGAAAGGTAATCATTTATCCTCAAAATTGCTTAATGACACTATTTGACTGTTTTCACTGACAACTCTGTATATTTGTTGTTTCTTAATTTCTTAGGAGTTTCCTATCCTATTATTGCACTTAAATTTTATCATTGCTATTCTGTTGTTCTGTTATTGAGTTTTGCTGTTACTTTTCTTCAAATGGATAGTTAAGATGTGATTTGAACTTAATATGATTAAGTCTAATGGATTGCATTTCCTATTGCCTTGGTTTGTTTGGCAATGTAGAGAAATAGAAGTAAATGCAATTGATAAAAGAACTCAACCATTTCTTGTCCTAGCAGATATTAAACATCTGTGCCTTCTTACTTTCTCATATCTTGGCAATCATCCTGTCGAGGGCTTTAAATTCATGTCCAAAATTATATCACATTCTCTTAGATTACAATCAGTAGAATATTTTATATTAATGGTCTAACAAGTTCCATGTAATTATTTTTTCTTTTTATTTCTTCTTTTTTTAAATGATTTATTTATTTATGTATACAGAACTGGGGTATAGGCCAGAGGTGTGGGAGGGGGTGAGAGGGTTCACCAGAGACAGAGTGGGAAACAGAACAGGGAGATTGACTGAAATACACTGGTGAGGGGAGCAGTAGGCGAGTCAGGAGAGGTCTGCTGTGCCATGTGGGTAGCTCCCTGGCCAAGTTCCCTGACAGTCAACAAGTATACCAGTGAATTTAAGTTATTAACGATATATTTAGAACATGTCTGGAATAACTTCTAAGTTCTCACTTTTGCTATATTATCACAGTAACTTATTTCCCTTATGCCACAAAATCTGACTCTGAGGATCCCTTTTTCAGAACAGGTGAATATCCTTTCTCTCTCACGTGTTCACACCATCAGGCATCACAGGTTATAACAGAAAATGTATGTGCTTAGCTGGAGACTTTCATGAAATGTGCAACATTCCTTGCAGCAGATTTGTCTGACTGTCAGAGCCTTAATTATAGCAAGCTAGCACAGTTTTCAAAAACAAGAGTGCAGAAATTGAAATCTCGGTTGTGCAAGGAATGTCAATTGTGTGGGACTGGGCTTGGATTTGCAGCAGAGGTTGCCAAGATCACATTACAGTTTGCCTTGACAAGGTAGAGCTTTCATTAGTGTAATGAAAATATGGAAACATTAGAAATGGCAGTATGTTACAGCATATTCTTCCACATGGTTACACAATTTTTATATTTCTAAAAGATGCCTCATTAATATACCAGTGTGTTTTGATTGTAGCCAACAAAATAATATCTGAACTTGAACTATGTGCTAAATGCCACATAAAACACATATGAAGTTGCTTTAAGTTGTCTTTGACTCCACACTCTCTTGAGTTGCTGATGAATTATCATTGGTCTTGATTTGACTATGATTGGGAAATAGATTACAAGAGTATCCATCAAGATGAATGAGGGTCTACACTGTGTAAAATCCTTTTAGTTCTTCTGTAAAGCATTCCCTTTAGCAATCGAAATGGCTTTTTTAGTTCAGCTAAGTCATCGTTATTATCTTTTAAATCTTTTAACTCTCCAAAGGCCTATTGTTATAAGGACATACTGTCTGGGGAATCAGAGGAAGAGAAGAAAGCAGAATGTGTGAATTTTACCTTTTTTTACCTCTGATTTATGAAGAGGAAAGAGAACCATTTTTGATATTAACAGACACAGTGGAGAGGTAGCTG